TTTACTAGTAATGGACTTATGGAAAAAAGGAACAATCTTGTTGATAACGAAATTATTACTCATAAACGAGATGTAATAGGCATCAAAGACACTTAATGAAAGTGCTGTTCTGAAAACAACGAGCTTTAAACATTGCTTTAAACTGTTAGAATATTTTCGATATGGAAGTCCAACAGTGTAATATTTCACTGCCAAAATCAATGCCCTAATAGGAATACCGAGTAATGCTAGCAATCCTGACAAGGAGATCATTGTACGTAGATAAAAGACATATTAAGTGGGAATTGGGTCTACCTGGGAGCCGCAGCCTTATATAGGAGCATTGCAACCGTCTCATGTGATAACGTCCTATATTGTGGGGAGTAGCGGATATCGAAGAATTCATGCACTCTTTTGTTTGCTTATAGACGATGATGGAGAAACTTAATCTGTAACGGATGAATGCAAGCTGAATGCAAGCGTTACAAGATGAATGCAAGTTCTACAAGCTTTATGCAAAACACAGCTGGGGCAGGAGTTTCAAGATTCTCAAAATCGCTCTCTTCGACCATAACTTGCAGTGGTTGATACGAGAACATCCGTGGAACAGACGACGTAGCCATAACCAATTCAATTTGATACTAGGTATCTAGAGTTATTACAATAGAGAGTCTGACTCCCATATTTATCGTGTTCTCGGCGCAACGGGCGAGATCGACTTGAGCGAATAACGTTGAAAAGAACAAACACCTTCAGCCTCAACGAGATTTGTCACGAAAGCAAGAGGCTATTTCTTCTTCTGTGTTATTTCCTATACATTTACTAAGTCCTGTAGGCCAGATTGTCCCCGGTATGGTGCTATCGCCGGGAACGGGTTAATTAGTATGGGATTGGATTATATAAGCAGTGAGTACACCAAGAGTTCCAATCAACGTCGAGGATTTAAATGTATATAGACCTTGAAAAATTTCAGATTTATAGCACTTAACTAGTCAATTAGAGAATAATCAACATGTCTGTCGAAGATTTAAAAGCTACTGTCACCAAGTTACAAGATAGAATTTCATATTTGGAACAAAAGGCCGGCGTTTTGCCAAATGTGCCAAAATCGGTCAGAATGGTCTTAATTGGACCTCCAGGAGCCGGTAAGGGTACCCAAGCTCCAAACTTGAAGGAAAAGTTCTGTGCTTGTCACTTAGCTACCGGCGATATGTTGAGAGCACAAGTTGCTGCTAAGTCGGCATTGGGTGTTGAAGCTAAGAAGATTATGGATCAAGGTGGATTAGTTTCGGACGAAATCATGGTCAACATGATCAAGTCTGAATTAGAAAACAACAAGGAATGTTCTAACGGTTTCATTTTGGATGGATTCCCAAGAACTATCCCACAAGCTGAAAAATTGGACTCTATGTTGGAAACCAGAAAGACTCCATTGGAAAGCGCTGTTGAATTAAAGATCGACGATGAATTGTTGGTTGCTAGAATCACTGGTAGATTAGTCCACCCGGCATCAGGTAGATCATACCACAAGTTGTTCAACCCACCAAAGAAAGACATGATTGACGATGTTTCTGGTGACGCGTTAGTCCAAAGATCCGACGATAACGAAGATGCTTTGAAGAAGAGATTAGTTACCTACCACAAGCAAACCGAACCAATTGTCGATTACTACAGAAAGAACGGTATCTGGACTGGTGTCGATGCTTCCCAAAAACCAGGTAAGGTTTGGGATGACATCTTAAAATGCTTAGGTCAAAAATAAAAATAATTTTATATATTAGCTAAGTAATTATGTATAGGATTGTAAAAATATCACCGCTATTGTTATTAGAACTTTTCCCGTTTTACCTTTGTATTCAACTCATCCACTGCACCTCTCTTTTTATTTGCTTCGTTGAAGCATGTAGCATGACAGATTTTACGGCTATTTTTCCCTTCACCTGGAGCTCTGATACAGTTGAACCAGCACCATTCCCCAAGGTCATCATTATAGGTAGCCTTTATTTGATCACGACAAATAAGACACTTATTATTCATATTTGTTTCATTTGATGGAATTGTAACGTAAGGTGTTTCGGTTTTGGTTACATTAGAATTGTTCATGATGCTGGTCTGTAAAGACTCTGTATTTGATGTAGTTGAATACTCTAACAAGTTCTCATCTCTGAATTTGACCCAGTCGTAATCATCCAAATACCATACTCTTGATTGCACGCTTGACGTCGCCATCTTCTTATTTATACGGAAATGCCAATCCAAATGCAATCTTCTTTTACTAACACCTGCTTCATCTGTGGTAAATCTTTTACCACATGTACCACACTTCGATGACTTTGCCTCGTATAACAAAGATTTGGTTGAATTTGAAATCTTGTTAGTATTTATGAAATTTTGTAACCCTTTTGAGTCAATGGCTAAATTATTTAATTCATTGAATTTTAATTGTTCATATTCCGTTCTAGCTATATTCGAACTTGGAATATTGAATTTTGCATTCGAGTTTATTAATAACTGTTCTAATACACTATTTGAAGGTAAATCTACATTATTAGGAATATTAACCGTAGGTTGATATTTTTGTTTGGGGAAGTTTAACTCATAAGTTGGTAAAGAGCCAGGTTTAAGTGATTGATCGACTTTAATTAAGCCAGATACCACAAGCATGCCAAAGATATCCTTGGCTTTGTTATTCTGAACCTTAGGAGTATTTGGTAACCCTGGAGTCGTTGCCAGGGTCACTGCTGGAGTGGGTATAGGTGTATTATAGGTGTTTAACTCTTGTTGTTTGATGGTTTGTAATTGTGTTTGCACCGCTTGTAGTTCATTAACGTTCATAGTTTGGCTCTGCAACAATGTCTTTAATTGATTCAAGGCATTAAATCTGTCGGTAAGTCTTGGATCAGGGTTGTTTATGAGTTTGTTCTGGAAAATAGGAACCAATGTGTTGATATCGTCGATCAAAACCTCGTTCGTCAATTGATCATTTCTCTTCGAATTCTTAGCATGTGCCTGGGTCAAAAATGCTGAAATCTTGTCTAACTGCTCTCTGGGGAATAGTGGCAAGTTAGTCCCCTTA